AAAAAGAAAAGACAAAAGAAAGGCAAATTCAAAATACCGCAGTGGCTCATCCAGTGGCCAGCGACTTCAAATTTCCCTCCGCTGACTTCTCAAGACGTTCTAGCGCGGACCGACAATCCTTTCAGAGCCCCACCCGATCCAACCTCAACAAAAATTGGCGTCTACCCCAACAGAACAGTCATGATCCTTACGGTTTACTAGCCACATTCATTTTCTACTCGGTTCCTTTTTTTTGTGTTCTTTTGAGTTGTTTTTTTTTCTTGTTTTGTTTGGTTTTATGTTTTTTGTAGGGCATTTTATTTTTACACTCGTTGTTTCTTTGTTGCTAATTTATCTATCTATTTGTTTAGCTGTTTATTAAGGGATTCGTACCTCGAGGATGGTGCCCAAAAAAGACATGAATAAATTAACTCCTTTATCTGAAAGTAAAAGACACGAGGGGTCAGAATCACATGTAGACGAGAAAACAAAGTTGTCCTTCGTAAAAGTAAGGAACAAGTTTGTTGTCAACTACTACCTACCTGGTACGGACTAGTCCAATCACCAGGATCACATCGATTCTGCCAATCAGGGATCATCTATCTACAGTTGATCAGTGTCATTGTCACTCAGAGAGCTTATTTTGATTGTTTTGGTGCTTTTGTTTGATATTGTCTTTGGTTTTTGGGTTTTGTGTTGGATGGTGGATGGCATATGTATGTATGGATGTGTGTATATATGTGTACTTTGTGTGATGTACGATGCTGGGTGCTTTGTACCTAGGTATCATGAGGGGTAGGGCTTCGTGGTTCTACAGGTACGGTAGATGTATGTATGTTGGTGAGTGTATAGTTCCACGTTCAAGGATATAATGATATGGACTTTCATCTAGTCCAGGATGAAACATGAAACATAGTTGACATACACTTCCCTCGCATTGACTTCGGGGAGAGTTTGAGGATTCTCGATTTGGCTTTTATCTCGCGGGATTGAGTTCATCACATGGCGGCTTACTTGCTCGCCAATGGAGGAGGTTATGCTTTACGTTTGAGATCCATGTAGTCATGATGGCAACTGTCGCCTCTATGCTCTTCGACATGAATCCCATCCCAATGGACTGGAACATGTGAGGCGAGTCATGATGGAATAAGGTAGGTAATGAGATCCATTTGGACCTCCACACCTGTCGACAACCTAAGATCCGAGTCATCTCCGACCTCCACCGGCCATGAACGGCGGTACCAATCAGCGAGGGGGCAATTGCCCATTGCACATGATACCTCGGGCTGACAGCGTCTCGACTTGCCTGCCTTAGTAACTCTAAAAGGTTAATTTGACAAGGAACGAACACCAGCGAGACAAGTGGACTGATGATCGGACGAGGATTGTTGAGAAGCCAAGAGCGATTGCAGTCGGAGTGGATCCGATGGCATGCAGGCAGGAGAAGGCGGTAAGCGCTCCCCAGCTTCTTTGGTGTCCCTGGCAATCGCCACGTAATGGGAATACTCCCCGCTGTGTATTTTTCAATCCGCAAAGGATAACGCCACATACTCCCGAATTTATGATATCGATCACGATAAGCAAATAATGGTCTATTCTAGGGGTGGCTTTCTCATGACCAGTGCTCGATGGACGATTGCAGATGCTCGAGTCGTTGTCAAACTGGGCCAGTTGGCTAGTAGAAATGATGAGAGATACTCTCAGCTAGCCCTGCCGAGCAAACATTTGGGCGATGTAGGCGTCCTGAGCGGCCATTCGTCACCGTGGGTGGAAACTCGCGCTCATATGCATGCAGGACGAGAAGTTAGCCGTAGCTGAACCATGCGCCTGATGTGCCTGACCCTCGGCAGCGTGAGTAACAGAGGGGAGGAAGTCAGGAAACAGGCTAATTGCCAGTCGATCGAGTCTTGGTTGTACAGGCGCAGGAGTCTGGAGGCGAATTGAAGACGGGATGCTGGCAGCAAACTTCAGATCAGTATTCCCAAATACCACCACGGGTAACAAAACCCAGGAGTCCTGGCCAATCATGGAACCCCAACGGTACACAAAATTACCCTCTCCTGCACGGCTCCATACAGCGTCGATCTCCCCAAAGGACGAGAATTACCAGATGGAAAGGGACCGCCATCCAGAACAATGTTTGGTTCCTTTCCACTCGGGTGCCTTACCTTATGGTGATTTTTTTTTCTTTCCTATTTTGCCCATTTGGGTTTTTTCCAATCAATCGCCATTGGTCTGTAATTTTTTTTCTTTGCTTGGGGCGGCCTTCCTTTCCTTTCCTTCCCTTCCACGCCTTTTCCCCGGGCCGATGTCCTTCAGCTGATTCTTAACCTTTGAACTGTTTTTTTTTTCTTTCTCTTTTCTTCGTTTTTGTTGCCTCTGTTCAGCTTTCTTCAGCTCGTCTAATATCTTACCCTCCCCTCCTCAATCCCGGCCAGGGCAATTCCGGAGTGGTGCTGAACATCACCCCATACCCACTCGTTCCTATATCAGCTGCCAGGGAGCTCTCATCCTTCAGGATCCTTTGATATCGTGTAAACTCCAACCTCTTGGAGTGAGCCATTGGTATGTCCACAGCATAGCTTTTGCCTGCAGAAGCACATCCCTTCCCTCCATTGGTTGCGACCATGTGCCAATGTACAATGTGCGATGTACTGACAAAGAACCATCAGAGAAAGCAACCCCGGGACCCCTCGTTGGATACTCCAGACGACAACCACAATGTCTTCCACAGCTATCCCTAAGCGCATGGCGCTGAACCGCAACCCGGGCACGGATTCCTCCGTCCCCAGTGTGTCGGTATCTCCGTTTGACAGTCCTCGTCATTCGCCGTCCTCGACTTCCCTTTCGTCGCTCGCGTCCGAGTCCGAGAACAAGGGCAAGATGTTGGACACGTATGGAAATGAGTTCAAGATCCCCGACTACACCATCAAGCAGATCCGTGACGCCATCCCTGCTCACTGCTACGAGCGGAAAGCTCTCACCAGCTTGTACTATGTCTTCCGTGATGTAGCCATGTTGGGATCCATCTTCTATGTCTTCCACAACTATGTCACCCCGGAGACCGTTCCCTCTCTCCCGGCTCGCGTTGCTCTGTGGACCATCTACACCATCGTCCAGGGTTTGATCGCTACTGGTGTCTGGGTTTTGGCCCACGAGTGCGGTCACCAGGCTTTCTCCACCTCCAAGGTTCTCAACGACACTGTTGGCTGGATCTGCCACTCCGCCCTGCTGGTACCCTATTTCTCCTGGAAGATTTCCCACGGCAAGCACCACAAGGCCACTGGTAATATCGCCCGTGACATGGTGTTCGTCCCCAAGACCCGCGATGAGTATGCCTCCCGCGTTGGCAAGACCATTCACGAATTGAACGAATTGATGGAGGAAACTCCCATCGCCACTGTCCTCAACCTCATTCTCCAGCAGCTCTTCGGATGGCCCATGTACCTGATCACCAACGTTACCGGTCACAACAACCACGAGCGCCAGCCCGAGGGTCGTGGAAAGGGAAAGCGCAACGGCTACTTCGGCGGTGTCAACCACTTCAACCCTAGCAGCCCTCTGTACGAGGCCAAGGATGCTAAGCTGATTGTCCTGAGTGACCTGGGTCTCGCCATCACCGGATCCGTCCTCTATTACATTGGCTCCACCTATGGCTGGCTCAACCTCCTGGTGTGGTATGGAATTCCTTACCTCTGGGTGAACCACTGGCTGGGTAAGATTTCTCTCGAAACTTTCATGACCTAGCGAGACAGGTGCTAACAGTTGCCAACAGTCGCCATCACTTACCTCCAGCATACCGACCCCACTCTTCCTCACTACCAGCCCGAGGTGTGGAACTTCGCCCGTGGAGCCGCTGCCACTATTGACCGTGACTTCGGCTTTGTCGGCCGTAACATCCTGCACGGTATCATTGAGACCCACGTCCTTCACCACTACGTCAGCACCATCCCCTTCTACCACGCCGACGAGGCCAGCGAGGCCATCAAGAAGGTCATGGGCTCGCACTACCGCACGGAGGCCCACACTGGCTGGACTGGATTCTTCAAGGCTCTCTGGACCAGCGCCCGTGTTTGTCACTGGGTCGAGCCAACCGAGGGTGTTAAGGGCGAGGGTGAAGGTGTGCTCTTCTACCGTAATACCAACGGCGTCGGAGTTCCTCCGGCCAAGCTTTCCAAATAGATTATGTGTTTGTCGATATAGAACGAGTTTATTTTGAAGTTTCCTGTGTGGTGCTCGCAGGATCGAGTGATCACGATTTGGACACTCGTCACGTCACGTCATAGAGCAGCTGCGAGTTAATCGATCAACTTGAAGGCGTATATGGGGCATGAGATCTGGGGGAAACACATGGTTGAGCTTTTGCTTTAATTGCGATTAATCTGGGGCGTCTGTTTTTTGGGTGTATGTTCGACCTAGACCATCTCTGTTATCCTTCACGACAAATACTTTTGTCATTCTTCCAGCGAAAGAGCCTTTGGTTTCTCATCCAAGACCTCCGTCGAACAAAAAGTTCACCTCCATCGTCACTGTTTAGACACGAACAACTCGTTACAAGCTGCTGGGTCAATTTCTGCCCATAGACTTAGATATCTAGACCGTTTATCGAATATATGTGAAGTGAATCTCTGGATATGGATCCGGATAGTGTGCAACGTAGTCAGGATGTCGAAGAATGAGAATATGAGTGAGAGAGGAAGAGCAACAGTTTAAGATTTCTGGAACTGCGGGGAATTTTAGCTTCCGCGACCCGCCGAAGAAGGCACTAAAAACGAGCCCCATAGCCAACTTTCTGCAGAGACCTAGGCAGAAACATACTAAAGGCTTGAGCTTTATATGTACTGTACTGTATTCCGTTCCTTTACTCCACTCCGTACCTTAAATTTACATCTTACGGGGTGTAAGAGCAAGGGGAAGGGTGGCATAATGAGGGTATATAGGAGAAAGGAGAAGGAAGCCTAACTCTATTCACAGCTCTTTAATCCACCTTTCCAGATCGTAAAGCTGACTTCGTCTTGGGTTTCGTTTTGCTCGTTCACCAACCCTCCGGTCCAGGGCGCAAAGACGAGTTTCATAGTACGCCGGACAGGACGCTCGGGCGGCTGAGGTGAGGGTGGTGGTAGCTGCGAGCTACTCGGTTTGTCCTCAGAGACTGGAGCAGGGGCAGGAACAGAAGCAGTTTCGGGACTATCTTCGGCTTCTGTGCCTTTCTCCTCGGCGACAGTCTCTGCTGGGGGATCTGATTGGGGCTTTTCTCGCTCACCGGGGAAATCAGGCGCCTCCGGTTCCGGGTGTACTTTGGCTGTTGGTGGGACAGGGGTACTCTCTGGAAGAAGAGGATCTATGGCCGTTTGTCGCTCTTTCTTTAGGGCTATTCGACACGCGATCTGCGTCGACCACACGAGGCCGAGGCTGGTGTCTTCTGCGACGGTCTCTGGAAACCTGGGAATGAACTAGGGGGGAATGGCTGCGGCGAGTCGCCCCATCCGGTAAAGAACCGCTGCTGATGCAGCAGGCTGAGGATCTCACTGCGCACCGGGTTTCCCACCAGGTATGAGCCGTCGAAAGGTTGCTGTTGCGGGTCTTCTTCGGCGGCATACGGTGAAGACGGGAAGGGAGAGGGAGAAGATGGTGGCATAGCATTATGTTGGGATAGTTCGACGTTGCCGGACTCGGTTGCCCGGACTCTTGGTAAGGGGGACGCGTTGCCTGGCTCGCGAGCGGATTGAGGTTGTTGTGGTTGAGTAGAAGGGGATCCGTTTCCTGGTACACCACCTCCTATCCTTGGGAATCCTGAAGCACCGTCCATGGCATCGAATCGATCAGAGACTTGGTTCGCGACCACAATTGCGATGTCCTCCTGTACCGCCAGATTGCGTAGCATTTGTCCCAGCTTGGTGAGTTCCCCCGATCGAGTCGAGAGGCCTAGCATATTGTGTGCGGTATGCTCTGCTCTGTAGTTGGAGGTGATAGAATCGATGACAACGAGTCCGATGTTGTAGCGTTGAATCGCGACGGGGAGTTGATAGTTGAGTATGTGGTCTTGTGACTCGAGGTCCATGGCATTGATGGATAGGATATTCTCCAGCGTCGGGGCACGATCGCGAGGCAGGGTCGAGAGGTACGGGTGGGAAGAAACGAGCTGGGAGAGCCGTGGCGTCGACAAAGGGGCCTCTGTAGAGATGTAGACGGCGTTCTTCCCCAGGCCCCGAGGTGAAGGAAGCTGGACGGCCAGCAACAGAGTGAGGAGAAATTGTGTCTTACCACTCCCACTGACGATGCGAGACTGGTCAGCCCAATTCCCAGAAGCTACCGTTCATGTAGATGCACGCACGTACCTCTCGCCGGTCACCTCCGTCACATAGCTAGTTGGTACCCCGCCGCCCAACAGGTCATCTAATGCGGTGTCGAGAGTGCTGATCGCGCTCCATTGCGACAGGTCTAGCTTTGTCGTGGATCCCAGGGTAATCGGCAGGTCATCATTGATACTGGAGCTCGGCTCGGCAGACGCGGGCTGATCGATATCTTCAAATCCGATATCATGATGGAGCGCCTTGATGACACTGGCGCACAACCGACGAACATCGGCTGGAGGCACGTGGGCGCGTTTCGCGATCTCAAGCGTATCGAGAGTGATGAGATCAACCGTGGTTATCTTGCTTCTCTCCAAAGGCGGAAGTATATGCGCATACGGTTTTGTATGGAAGTCCGGGAGGACTGATAAAAGATCCATATGCGTGGAGGTCAAGTCGATAACTCAAGATTGTCATCCCAAGTGGAAAGACGTGGGAAGACGTGTGCGGGAGCCGACTGGCCAATCAGGGGAGGCCATTATAGATCATTAGTGACCACCAGAATATTATACAAATTATACAAATTCAATCCAATACACCCATTTATCTGGATGTTGTACATTTCTTCATCGGTTCGGGATTTGGATAACTGAGAGAGGTATAGCAATAGATTCATCTACAGTTCACCACCTCTTCAGTACTTGCGTCTCCGCCGTACATTAGCCCTACGAGCCTCTCTTCCATCTGCTCTAATGAAGCAATGAAAAGCTAAAGAATAAAATACAAAATGTACCAGATTATAAGAAAACTAGGTCCTTGGATACAGATATTATAATAAACTGATACCTTCTTATAGGCCTTCCTCTGGAGGCCTATATCAATCCCCTGCCTCAGGCATCATGTCAAGACCAACACAATCACCAGGAACTCCAAGTTCCTATGCATTGTGGATCAGATTACTGGAAATGAAAATGGTGTTATATCAGTCGCGGTAGTCCGCATGAATTTTTTGAATCGGCTATATCATTTTCCTCGTACGCCCACAAAATATTCCATTCCTAGGTATGGTTTGTTCGGCTATGCCTCTCCCTGACCCTTAATTGGCAAACAGTCTTGGAGAAACTGCTTATAGTCTTGCATAGCTTGCTCGAATGGTTGACCATAGTAGATTTCAAAATGACCTACGTCATACCACTTGATCACTCCTTTGGGTGCTGTTTTCGCATATGCCAAGGTGGTGCCTGCAGGTGCAACTGAGTCTGGACCACATATACCAAAAAATATTGGACATTCAACCTTAGATGCATAAGATCCAGGTCTCAAGAGAGAAATCTTTAAAGCCAGACGAGCAGGGACTCTCTCCTGAAATGGATGACCTTCAGGGATAAGTTTTGGAAAGGTACTGAGCACGTCTGCAGCATTCATCAGAGCCGCTATAGTAGGTTTTAGCTTCTTTGGTTTCAGTTGTCCGAGGATAAACAGTCTTCACTTACCCTCACCTGGCTTTCCGATCAGTGGTACAGTTATTGGCTTTTCATCCGAGCCAAAAAGAACGTCCAACAGGCCAAGCCCTACCAGCCTCGGAGCGGCTGCAATCCCTGTACAAAGAGTACTCTGCCAGCCAGAAGTAAAGGGGCATTGGGAGATGACTGCTTTGAGTTTTTTATCAGTAGCGGCCAGCTGGATGACATGCCCCCCACTGAAAGATGTTCCAAAAAGGCCGACTTGATTCGGATCGACATTCTCCAGTTGACGCGTATACTTGATGGCAGATTTCCAGTCTTCTTGCTGCTGATGCCAGTCAATCAGACCTCTTGGTAGACCCTCCGATCCACCAGAGCAACGATAGTCGAAGACGACACATGTGTATCCCATCTGATTGAACCTGTCGGCATATACGTCGAGCTTAAGTTCTTTCGTTCCACCCAGGCCGTGGGATAAGACGATGGCTGGCCCGGGGTTCGATGCGGTGAACGTCTGAGACGAGTAAAGCCATCCACACATAAGGTCCTCTGAGGATGAAGCAATTTTGATATCCACACGGCGTTCAATCCCTGCGGTGGCCATATTGAGGGTTGGTGTATTTTCGCCGTCCCCTTTCTCTTGTGTTTAGAAGGGAGGCGGCGGCTTTTACATTGTCTGTCCAGTAGCTTATGAACCTTGAGTGCTCGCTCGGTTGATCACCAAATCATCACCTCGGCTCCAGCAGGGAAAATGATACATTGGATTGTCTCCAGAACTCTTGGGGACAACTTAGAGGTGATTTAAGTTTCTAACCGTTCACCAGCTGTGGCGGAGTGGATCTTGCGAATCGTGTGGGGCGAGGATCTCGCAAGCATTTCCCACTTGATATACTTGATCAACCTTGCGGCGTAATATCCGTCCGACTTGCGAGTCGGGCAGATTGTTGCTGTGGAGGGCTCCCGATTTTGAGATTAAGGTTACTGTTCCCAGACGATATACTCCATATCTTTGCCCCCTACTGTTAGGACTTGCCCGAACCACATCAGGAAGACCAGCCGAGGTACTGACTGTGGCATTTTTAGCTCAAGTCCTTTTCACAGATAGGGAGTCAACACAAGGCACGTCAATCAGCTTGTTTCCTGTCTAAATATTTTAAAATGACTACCTAATACAGAAATATATTTGCAAAAAGGTACAAATGCGTCAGTGGTCAATTTGAGGCACTCCCGACTGGCCGTTCCGTCACTATGCTTTCTTGGTGTCAATTTGGGAAACTTTGATCAAGGATATCGTTTGACGAAATACACAAGCTCCAGGGATGTAGCAAACCAGGGCTCTACCAGAGCAGATCCTAGCTATTCTGGTCTTAGTGGTTCTTAGTTATTTTACTCCTCGGTATTCAGAAACGGGTCATTAGGTTAGTATAGAAGGCTTCTTCCGCTGTATAGGGTCAATATTAGGGGGTGATAGTTCTCAGTATTTTTTATTACTCTGCTCTACTACCTCGCTATCTACGTATATACGTATGCCAGAGAATGACTTTGAACTATCTGAAGTATATATGGTAATTTCTTCCTATATCTGAGGGAGTGACTGTTGCTCCCTGGCGGTTCCTCAGGGAGTCGTTGAATGGCATTACTATATCAGGTATAAGGTCTCTGTTCCTGATACACATTCTTCACAACCGTACCTCAGATACTACTAGCATTCCACACACGAGGTCAAAGCTATCCTCAAACATGCGAGATTCGATGTCTCTTCTAAATCCTCCAGTTGCAGTTCACTACCCAAGTAGGAACTATTCCGACAAAGTTTATTATTCCATGAGCAGCCTCTAAATGGGATGATAAGATGAGTGGCCCTCGCCTCAGAACGTGTCAAGGTCTGATGCAGTCCAAGAAGCCGGTACCGGCCAAGGGCATGTCAAGAAATAAGCTTCTGCATTAGTATGGTTAGTTCTTTTCTCAGTGTCCGATGCCTACGGGCCTCTCAAAGTGGCATGCAGTCAAGGTACTATGAGCGGATAAAATAGTCTTCGTTAGCATAGCTGAGAAGCATATATTCAGTTGGACTCTGGAAAGTCATTGTATTAACAACACGAGAAGTTGAAGTCTCGAGTCGATCATCCGTCAGAGTCTGCCAAGGACAAGCTACTTGACACGATTAACGAAGGAAGGTCGTCGAATGACTTGGGTAGATCGAAGATAATGCATTCATGTCGTGAAACTGAAGCGCGGGTATATGAATCAGAAGGAAGGATAGAAAATACTTGTATATATTGTATATCACATGGCGAGTCGGACAAGATCAATGAACAAATATGGGGGGTTAACATGCTAGCGTGGGAGGTTTCAAGCTTAGGGGTAAAGAAGAGTCTAGTACGGCAGGAGAGAAGTAGTATCCTTGCTCTTTTCGAAGTTCATACTTTCTTTTATTCAGGTCGTAGCAGACGGTGAACCCTAATGATGCGTGGTCTTCTCAATCAGTTTAGCCAAGCAGCATCTTCGCCCTTGTGGGTCACAAACCTTTCGAGCGCTCATCTCTACAAGTAGTATAACTCTCGATAGTTGTCTAAAAGTTAGATGCATTGTTTGAGTAACAGTACTATATGATCCTCTAAAATCTCATGCATCACTGGAGCAAGGATGGACATAAGAGAGCCTAGGCCCTAGCCAAGCTATTAAAGCGCCTACCAGGCTTTATTCCGGCGTCAGTCCCATTTCAGGAGATATTGCTTGTACTTCCTATCGTGCCAGGAATCCTTGGGAGTAGTCTCCAACGCATCTTCCCAATCAACAATGTAGCTAATGAATAGACACCATAAGCAAGCTGCACGAACTACATAATGGAGAAGACTGTCTACTTACCACTTCCCGGCTCTATTATCCCAAATGAGGTTTCGTTCTCCCTCGTCCAAATGTACTCTGCCACAAGCCATACACTCACTGCAAAAATGTATAAGATACCACTGTACAAGCAAGTAGAACCACCAAAAAACTCACATATATGCCTCCTTGAATGCTTTTAAAAGCCGATCCCTCTCCTCTTGATCCATTGGGTGCCAATAAGCGGGCGGTCTGACCCCTGGCACCCGCTCCATTAGGATATATTCGATATATCCCCCGGGGACCCAGTCGGTATTGCTTTGGGTTTCGCGCGTCCACCCGAGCAAAGCTGGGCTTGATGAACAGCCTGCTTGCGTTAGACATCGTAGAGCATCAATTTCAAACAGAGTCTTTTCGCCCATATCGTGTCTAGCTTGTTTTGCTCTCTCTTCAGAGGAGCTAGAATATGTCCCCATGAATGGGATTCTATGTCAAGTGTTAGGCGCGGTATACCAAGTAAAACACATGTGCATAGAGATACGAAAAGAACCTACTGGAACCGAACTTTAACTACGGCCTCTTTACCGTCGGCATTGGTGCAAAGGAAAACACCACGTCCTTCAGCCCTGAAGTCCAACCGCTGCCCTTCCCATTCCGTGTGCACGATCTCGCGTTCATGGATTTTTCGAACAATCCTCCATTTTGATGGAATGGGTTCACCAAACGCTATCTCGCGTCCTATCCATTTGTCGTCATCGAGCCATGGAATGCCTGAAGGAGGTGGTCCTACCATAATGACAGGATAGTCATAAAAAGAAAGGATAATAAAAGTGAGCACTGCCCTACGCAGGGTACCAGAGGCTAATCATCTTTGGCGCTCACTGTGTTGAGAGCTGCGGAGCCTGGATCCACTGTTTGATATAGCCAGGAACGGGTGCCTTGTTAGCGCGTTTGGCGCCTGCGCACAGATGGCACCAAGACCCGAGTTCCAGTTCTTAAGCTATTTTTATCTTACACTCACTTTTACATCATTGATGATTCTTTTCTGGGTTGTATAGGCAAGGGGATTGGCTGAGATTTAGATTAACCTTATATTCACAAGTAACCTCCTTTGAAGCAGCATACTCACTAATATCGACCTCATTTAGACTCGACCGGACGACCACGCCTGAAGTTACAGCACCCTACTCAGTTCTGTTGTACGTGTGCAAATTATTTCCTGGCAATCACGACGAACTGACCATATTTCTGATGTAGTGAATGATCATACCTGGCCCGGTTCCCAGTCAGTCAGTGGTACTTGAAAAGAAGATGAGTGTGGCTAGAAGTCCGAGTTCCTGGTAGTGATGGCAGAGGAGCCTTCAATGGGTACGTTATTGCTTATTCTTCTCTTTAGGTAAGTCCGTGAGGATTTACAGTCACCATCGTTGGTATCCACCCTCCTGGAACAATGTCTGTAACTTTTATGTCAGAAGACTGTTCATGTAATTCTCTAAGACCTGTCTGATCTATTAAAGTCTTATGTCTGTAGCCCGAAGAGGAGGTAAAAGAAAAGCGAAAGGGGAAAATATTCGAGATGTCAAGATGAAACAAACCACCAGACTCCCAACACATCTGTTATCATACCCCGGATTCATTTACAGGACATATCAAACCTAAGAGAAGAACGACGGAGAATATCTTAGAATTTAACCTTCCCTCCCTTTCCTACGCACCATCAAAGACCAAAAGACTTTGAATCTTGACTCCCCCAAAGCCACGCCGTCGCAAAAAAGTCCCGGCCACGGTGAACAGGGAACTCGGCCACGACCATGACGCTAATATCTTGCGCACCGATGCCAGCTTTATCTAAGAGCTGCAGTACCGCACACAGTGTGTTCCCCGTGGCGAGCACATCGTCCACCACCACCACTGACGCGCCTCTGGGGATCAAATTCCGGGCCATCTCGATGCTCTTCTCTTTCAAACCGTTGGATGCTGAAGACGATACATTCGATGGAGACTTGACGACTGAAAGGGTGGGTGGGGGAAGCTTACCGGCTTCGCGAATCAACGCCAAGGGTATATCAACCCGTGAGGCTAGCGCCGATGCATAGACGAAGCCGCCGACCTCGCAACACGCTATTACATCGACTTTGCCCCAGTCACCGGTAAAGTGAGACTGCAGCAGAGATGTGCACAGAGTCAATCCACCTGGCTGCTGGGAAATGTCGAGCACATGGCGGAACTCGATGCCCGGGCGTGGAAAGTCGGGTACCTGGCGCACCACGTTGGCCAGTCGTTGCAGGTCTTGGTGGCAGAAGGGAAGCAGATAGTGTTCGGCAAACCTTTTGGCCGCCTTTACTCCGGTCGTATCATTGTGGAAGATAAGACAGGGGCGGTACTCCACGGCCTTTTGATTCAACCTGCCATTGTCGTTGTCCTTGTTGTTACCATCGTCATCGCCGCCGTGGCACCCTCCGCGAGCCCGCCGCGTCTCTTCGGTAACTTGAACGCGAACTTCGAGCAGTCTGACGTCTGGCACCAAATGCGAAAAGGCTGCTACCGGCGCCTCATCTCGCATCCCGGTGATTAGCAGCACGTCCACATCTGAAGCGCCGTCCACCACACTCAGGAAATGCTCCTCTGGCAGCCGAGGTCGATGGCGCACCTGTTCCTGGAAAAATGCCGTCAATGCTGGCCGGTGCTGCTCCTTGTAGGTACGGTCCGAGAGCAGACGGCTCAAGTCGGCACCAGTGGCCGTCGCATATTCTCGTTTAGTCGCATCGCTAATGCTGACTACACGCGCCGTGAGGGATTTATGGGTGTAAGAGAGGAACGTGGAGACCCAGATATCGGCACAATAGTCCTTGCCGGCGCAGCTGTCACCCGTGACAAGAATGATGAGCCTCTGCTCCACCGGCGTTTTCGGGAGTGGACAGGCGTAAGCCAGTACGTTATGCGGGTCCGAACAGTGCTTGAGACGGGCCAGGCGCGGCCGGTTCGGCCCAAAAGCCTTTTCCGCCAGGATGGCGTCTCTGGGATCCGGCCCAAGGTCTGCGCTGTAAACTCCGCTGCTAAAGGGCAACAAGTCCCTGGCAACGTTGTATACCCACCGCTCGGCAGCTTGGGCGATCTCGGTGCCGTCTTGCTCGCGCAGCCAGACACCAGTTATCACGCAGGCGAAATCCCAGTCTCGACAACCGAAAGCAGTGGCATCAGCCGCCACATCACTGACCGCTCCACCACCGTGAAGCAGATGGACATAGCAGAATGGCGAAGGACGAGTCTTAACGGCCGTCGCTAAAGTGTTGGCGACATCCACTGCTCCGATACCTTTTAAGAATAAACATCGCTTGAACGCAGAGGTCTTGCAGCCGCCGTGTCCGCCGTGCATCTGGGACATGTACATCTCGGCCTCGAACAAACCGACGCCGTCCACAATATCGAAATTGCCTTCGATCCCGAAGATTGTGCCTGCGTCCACAGGTGCGAGCGTGGACGTGGATGTTTCAGATATAAGCCTAGTCGTGGAAGATTCGAACATGGTCACGCCAAGATGCAGCTGATCATATTCCCAGTACAGATACGCATCTGCAGAACAGTTGCGTGGGAGCTTGCTGGCGATGAGATCATCAAAATCGCTCAGTCTGCGCCGCGCCTCGAGGTCGTCACGCAACGGGATAACCCAGCTTCGAACGAAGTGGACCGGAGCCACATATGCCTTGAAGGTAACACTGACTATGATGCCAAAGTTGGTCCCAGCGCCTTTGATTGCCCATAATAGATCAAGGTCGTTTTTTGGGCGCACGGCACCGGCTGGGCGGTGTTTGCTTGGTACACGGCCAATGCAGAGAACCTCGCTTGAGTCGACACTGACCACCACGGCACCGATGATGGCGTCGCACGCGAGCCCATATAACCTAGCCAGGTGCCCAATACCGCCCTGTAGCCATAGTCCCGCACCTACGCTTGGGCGGGCCCCCAGGGGTACGGTTAGGCCAGCCGCCATGGTTTTGCGGACGATATCCCCCGTTTTGCAGCCGGCCTCAACGATAACCAAGGAATCGGATTCAGAACTGGATTCTCCATCTTTCCCAGCCGAGAGAATGTGTATTTGGTCAAAAGCGCTCATATCGACCGAGACGACGTTGGGCCATAGGCAGTGGCCGCTGTGACCCCCGCCAACGACAGTCAGACTGACATTGTGCTTCAGAGCCCATTGAACGCACTGCTGAACATGCCATACCTCTGTGGGCCTAACAATTGAAGCGGAACCGTGGAGGCAAGCCTCTCGGTTCTTAACAATCTTATCCTTCACCAACGGTACCCGTGCCGTTAACTCCGGCAACGAGGTCGCATGTTTGGTAAAGGCCGCCATGACGTTGGGAGAGTTAAATAGGAGATGGTGTGGGTAAGCCTCTTCATGATAGCCCAAGGCGCGGCACACCTTTCGCCACTCGACTCGGATAGCCTTGTTCGCCTCTGTATCCTGCATGACAAACCCCGCGACGAAGGAAGCGAAGTTGTCCAGCACTTCGTCGTCATCTCTCACGCGAACAATCCCGGCAGGGAAGCAAGCTGTTCGATGGCACACTAATCTGTTGAGACGCAGGGTCCCTTCGCGATGAAAAACTACCACCATCCCGCCTTGGGGCGCCTCAACAAGCATGTCCAGTGCCTGTTCAATGAACTTGTCTCTGGGCTTCATGCCGTACAGACTATGACAGAATAAGATAAGATCAAACTTTTCACCACTAGTACTCGTACTGATACTGCCACCGCGTCCTATGTCGCTGTTCAGGACGAATGGCATTCGATGGATGTCGGGTGGGCCTGCCAGACAGGGCAGCGGGGACTCTGTCTCCAAAGAAGGACAAAGCCATTCTTGCACCCTTGTAGCAAACAAGTCGTTAGGCTCGAAGGCAGCGTAACTCTTGATTTTCTGTCTTAGACCGCGGGGCAGATATCCAAGCACGCTCTTTGGGCCAGGTCCAATCTCTAGCACCGAAATACGGACCCGCGAGTTAAGGAGCGGGTCTAGCAGCTGGGATAGTTGAGGAATAATGAAGTCTTGATATTCTGATCCCCGGGCCAAGATATCGAAGCCAGCGCTGTACTGTGTGTCGGACAACGACTGTTTCAAGGACGGCGTTGCTGTGGCTTTCTGCTTCAATGCCTCCTTTAGGGAGTTTAGGGTAGCCATGACGGTTCAGTATGAGTATGTGGATGGCGCAACTGATGGTTGATGTGAAGCCCACAGCGATGTCCTTTATGCGACGTGCAATGCCACGTGAGACTCTTGGGGTGGGGTGAAATTCAGGTCGCTGATCCTCGGCAGACGATGGAGGTCCAGCAACAAACGAGCGCAGTGAAGTAGAAGTGATAACTTCCGGTATATGGGTATGGAAGTGAATTGATTCCATAGAGATATAACTCAGCCCCACCGATCGTCCCTCGCGTCCTATGTAAATTGTTCGGTGTGGAGCCTAATATGTGCCCGGTTTTATTATGGATGCATGTCAATATCTTTCGGAGACCCTAGCGGGCGGGTCTATACTTGTTCTGGTACTAAAAACCTCACCAGGGAGTAATTTCTCTTTTGGGAGTGGTAAGCCAACGCATCCTTGGGTCATGAGTTCCGGGTGAGAACTACCATAGCATATCTGTCGGACTCCTCAAAGTACAAAGGTACTGCTGGAGGAGCTGGTTGGTCTTCCAAATATGTTTAGCAGGATTCTTTCCCCACCATGCCCTATGTCATAGGCAGGAACTATGGACATGTGGTAAATATAGCATACAAAGACATAAGAAACAAAGAACTCAGTGAATAAGATGGACATGGTAGCTCAGCAGACATACTCCCCGTTGAGTTCAGAGAAATAAGACCACCGTCTTCCCTCTACTTTCTTCAGTAACTTTATCTTTTCCCATAGTTATCCCTGGATGATGTTACTCAGCTGATCCAATCTGACTTATAAGGACTTTGTAGGTAGAGTTTTTTTCCGTTGGCTTGCTTTGTTCAGTAGATATCGGTGATATCGCTAACCCTACTGGAGTACACTACCTGCCACACACTTCCTGAAGAATTGAATCCAACCCCGTCAGATCACACATTATGACAATCTCAGAATCGGATTTTCACGTTAGCCCTGTTCAGGGCGCCAGGAGAGTTGTGCCATCGGAGCGGCCAGCCGTTGAGAATACCATCACTACCATGAATGGTAATCACCGTGTAAGTACCGACGATGATGGCAAAGCAGGTACGTATATCCTGATTTCACTGTAATTCCAACCACTAAAACGAAGCCATGAATGTTTTTACCCAAGACCACGATGGACACCTAAAGATATCGCGAGAAACTAGAATAGCCACCAGCATACGAAGCATCTTGGAAGACATAGGAGAAGATCCCAACCGAGAGGGCCTTCTCAAGACCCCTGAACGGTATGCTAAGGCTATGCTCTTCTTCACTAAAGGGCATGAGGAAAGTGCATACGATATCGGAAAAGATGCCATCTTCAATATAGACCATAATGAGATGGTCCTGGTCCGCGGTATTGAAGTGTTCAGTATGTGTGAGCATCATCTCATTCCATTTGTAGGCAAGGTATGCACTTCTCCCTGTTTGTCGATATATTTAATGGACCAGTATTATCTGACAAGTCGATATAGGTTCACATTGCATACATCCCCAATGGTCGTGTGTTGGGGCTGTCTAAGTTGGCTCGAATTGCGGAGGTCTACGCGCGCAGACTGCAAGTCCAAGAGCGTCTCACGAAGCAGATCGCTCAGGCCATTGAGGACCTTCTACGGCCCCAGGGGGTCGCTGTTGTGATAGAGTCAGTTCATATGTGTATGGTTATGAGAGGTGTTCAGAAGAGCAGTGCTATGACTACGACCAGTTGCAGGACAGGCATATTCAAGGCAAGCAGGGCAGCGGAAGAGGAGTTTCAGTTCCTCTTGCAGCTGAAGCAGAATTGATAGACCTATCTTCTTATGGAAGACGCTGTCCTTTACGCTTGCTCACCACTTTTAGAGCACCTTGTTAGTTTGATTCATTTCTTTTTCTCAATCTTTTACTGGTTCGAAATTCATCGTAGAATACTGTGCGCACACCCCCAACTCTTGAATCATTTTAAACTGCTTTCAGTGAGAGCCCTAAACTACGCGGAACCAATTTGTATTACTTTTTAATCACCCGCTGCAACTGCTCTAAAGCACTAGTCTCTGACACCTCATCCTTAATCTTCCTGTCAGGCTCCCCTTCTGCTCTTCACGGGGGTAGCCTGGGACGATCATTAGAGGGTGGATATATTAATATCGGAAGAACATAAAATAAACGCCAATACACTTGAATAGTTTGGGTTAAAATCTGAGCTGGCAGTTGCCATCTTGGCCATACTGAACTATGGAGGCGGAAGATAGACGGTCCTGAGGAACATCTCTCGAGCCGCAGCACCGTGTGTCCAAAGGCCTTAGCGCACGCATGTTTTGATATAAATTGACCATTTTTATTTGCTGTTCCTTTGGAGTAGTACTCATGTCGAAGGTAATGTGAATAGTTTAGAGATATTGAGGTGTTAGATATAATGCATCACATCCCTTTCCTTTGCTTATATATTTTCGGCACACAATGGTACTTGATAGCGGAGAAGCACACTATTTAGGACTGGCTTGTATTATTTACAAGAATATTCGCATATAACGTGCTATAACTATGTAATACGCAGACTTTGCAGATTTTTGATTGTTACTTTCAGATATATACTGGATCAAGAGACTGACTCAGTGGTGCTGGGATATATCGACTTTATCTTCAGGACGAAACAAATATATATGTCTAGCAAACTAGTATCGATGACCCAACCCTTTCCAAACATCGTAGAATGAATCAATTCTAAACCGCAAACTATATAAATCCCAGGATTCCAATCCATACAAACCACTTCACCCATAGAAACCCACCACTCTCACTACACTACCAGTACAGTATCACCCCCAAACCTGCACAATGACATATCTCATCTGCACCTCAGACATAAACTACATATTAAACCAACTAACCTACGTCAATCCCCAACCTCCAGTGACCCAATCATACCCCAACTCAAGCACAGAGCAAACAATCAACTAACAGCCACGTGAAAACCAAAAAGAAAAAACCAAACAAACTGCACCACGAGGCGCGCATAAGCGAGGAATTCAGTCTTCAACCTCCCTTCCCGCCGCCCGCATACCTCCAGTCCATGTTTCAGCTGGGGTCGGAACAAGCCGACTGCCCTGCCGTTGCAAAAGGGATAAAAGGTCTGTCTCCCTTGCGTGGGAGATTCCACGAACGAAACGTGCATGATTCTGGGCGTGGATACACAGGAGGCACTAATTTTTAGTTCTTACGTACATTGTATTGCAAACGGCGATGAGTTCGCAGAGGGGAATTTGTTATCCCGGCTCTTCGCGTAGATCGGGGGACTAATTCTTGCTAGTATGATTTTGAGCAGCTAGCCGAGGGACCATTGAGATCACGATCAACATTCCTGCATGGTTGGATCGGGTCTGGCAGGACTTAGGGTAATACGACACAGTAAGACGAATACCATCCTGATATTTACGGTAATTGCTGATTCCCCGCTAGACGAGAGGGGAAGGAATACTGAATACCTGGAATACGAAAGACTTGTGATAGATCACATCTGCCAACTTCGCATAGTAAACTCTCTTGCCGCTATCCGAGTGCAACGGTCGACTAGAACCGGTGAGGACTAGCGAGCGTCACTAAAGAGCTTTTAGCTTCTGATCTATCCTGTGTCATGTAGATAGATGCGTTGGTTGTTCCCGTTGCGTCGAGCTTTTTGTCTTTTGGGTTAAGCTACTGTCATGGTGTCGTGCTAGGATGAGTTAATTAGGGCATATTGTATTGATCAGGATTAGTGAGGCTGCACTGTGCTACGCGAGCTATCGAGTTTTGTAGAATCCGGCTTTCGAGAGACGGTTTGTCTGCCAATTGGGGCATGTCGGTGCTTCCATAATAGTAATAGTGATGGGATTGATGACGAGGACTTTCAGCTTAGCAATTTCTGCGGACGGAGTACTACTGAAGATTCCCTGAAACAGCTTGTCCTCTTAGTAGCACGAAGTAAGGCATAGATAGGTGAACGTAAGGGCGTCATTGTCAGGCCTTCGGGAGAGAGCCGATATGCTATACCAGCGAAATTGGCCTCAACTGGAAGATCCCGCTAGACTCGTGTTGAGGATTTCCGCCCCATTCCTAACAAAAGCTTCAGATAATCTGCAGGCTTTTGGATAATCTAACGTACCGCATATTTCCAGCACTCCTTCCATGCTGCAGCTGAAGCTTGCCGCGTGTCCGAGACATGGCAAAGTATAGTACCGAGGGCGAAGGAATCTTCCTACGGAGATAATTATATGCTTATCGCGATAAGGGGTTGCCTTCTTTTCAGCATCAGATGCCTTCAATGTTGCTGCGAGCAATGTTGCACCCTTACTGGTTGCCCACGGGTCGGATGATAGTTCATCTTATGGTATACCTTCTGGGTAGGTGTTTTCTATCTCGCATGAACGTAGTCTTCGACCGGTGAGGTAGGTCAATTTGATATCTGGGCCCTACACACTGAAGTATATCTGCAGACAGTCCATTGGAAACCAACGATCCAGTCACTAGACAAGTGTCAGTGGTATAGACTCGAGAATGCCAGCTCCGGAAACGCCGATCATCCTGACGACAGGACAGGGAGCGGGAGACGACGACACTCCTGTCTCCTTATTCCTTCCTTGGGCAGTCAACCTATAGTAGGTCTGTGGTCTCTCCTTTTGTAGGCTCTATCTAAAGGCAGTTTTTCAGAGGCGCCAATCACTTCCCGAATTCAGCAATGATGGTCTGGACTTCTTCCATGATTTTGCCGATGGCTCAGGAGGCAGCTTAAACAAGATTACTTGTACAGAGTACAAATCTGAGCTTCTCACTCACATACCTCCTAAGTTAAACTACATGTTCAGCAAATATAGAACATTGAATCGCGACAACGTAGTCGCGCCGCAAATCACAAGGCGCCGAGTCCTGTGTTGGTTGCATTTGCGCCATATTAGAGGGGCGTATGAAGCGCAATGGTTTTTCCTGCGATCTCTGGTGATAATACGGAACCCAGGTAGGAAGTCGATCTTGTAGCACACCACAACCCTTCTCGAGCTACTCGAATCAGTGGATGATGTCATCACCTGACCGGGATTATTCGCTAGACGCGATAGGAAAGAGCTGATCGCAAGTATTGGCATGAGATATTAATATCCCGAAATATTCACTTTGAGAGTTCCATGTATGCAGGCGTAAGGGAGCGTACGTAAGGGGTGGCATCCTCTCGTTGAATATGGTTGTATACCCCGACGGAAACACCCGTTGTGGAGTATCGTCATGAGGCATTCCGCGGAGTATCTTCGCCGAAGGGGGTGTTGATAAGAGGTGATACAACGAGGAGTACCTTTAAAATGAAGGTTAGCTTCGCAAATAGTCTAGTGGCAGTGTGATACAGTGATGGATGGACTATTGATTGGACATGAATCACTAATCCCCTCTCAGTCAACACAGACCAAGGTCAGAGAGTTGGGATTCCATTCGTTCCAGCAATCATAATAATGGTGATATGTGTGGGGTATGTACGGAGTATGCCGTACACAGTACACAGTATCGATGTGTGGACATGATTTCCGAAAAAAACACGATTTGTCAATTCCCAGGAGGCGTCATTGTTGGCGCAGTCAGCAGCCAGGAGAAGAAGATCCCATGCGGGTAGACCCGACAATCTGGTCATGCATGGCGCAGAGTATGCAAGTTTCAAGGCATTCTTCGGCTCTGCGCGACTTCCCCAATACCGAAGGCGGAATGCCACATGACAGCGGTCAGCGGATTGGGAGTCCGTTTAAAGTTACACTTTCTGGACTGTTTCTGGTAAGAAAGTAAATATGGATGGATTTGACATGAAGGAGTAACCAGGTCTCTTTCTTTAATGCTTTTATCATCTATCAAAGACTGTCAAAGAAGCTACCATTGAAAATCTCAGTTCAGAGAATTTAACCTGATTCAGGTTCTCCCTGGGAGAGATCGCCACCATGATTCATAATCATCCGACCACGTCGTCGGGTAATAATACTGAATGTTATGGGTTTTCATTTCGATTAGCATGTCTTATGAAAGCCTGATATGGACATGGATGACACTTCTCTGTTCCCTCTTCAGGACCGTTGTCCGAGAAGACAGGGGTAAGACCATGGTTCTCTCTACAGTGGGGCTTGGCAACCTGGGGGGCATTTTAATCTCGCCTGTGGATTTATTCGGTGCTGTCGTCTCACCTTCTTCTTCAGTCCTAGCCCTCAATCCTCGTCGATTAGGTGACGAACTGGTCCTGGCAAGAGGAGGCTATCGAGTCAGTCGATCCCAAGGTGAGCTTCTTTGCTCTAGAAAATTCGAGGAGATTTCTCGCCCCCAAAAGAGCTCATAGCTGGGGGGAGCTGTCCAAGTTGGTATGTAAAAAAAATAAATAAATAAAGATGGACGGACGGATGATCCGAACAGAACCAAAAATCACGATGGCTGGAATGGGGCATCCCCATTCGGCGCGGACCGCCCGAGTGGGTTTCTTGCAAAAGTTTCCCAGTGTTCAACACTTGGGATTCTCTTGGCTTTTCCCGCCTTACCCGTTTTTACCTTAGAAGCATTTCCGCAGTGGGAATGGCTGGCGTCAAGACCACGTCTTCAAGTGTACGGAGTATTACTATGCAGAGACTCATTGATAACTCCGTAATTGCACCAGGATAGGAATAATTCTTTACTTTATGTGCTTTATTGTGCCAGGCCAAAGTACGATGCGTTGTTGATTCTCTCGCAACGGACCAGTTGATTTCGTTATCCGGACTTCACGCACCGTCATGCGTCGAGGCTGGAGTACAGGCTGGGTCTGGAAGAAGTCCAA